CAGTTGCACTCATCAGCACATCAAGACTGAATTCAGTAAAACTCGGCAAGGCGTTTTTCCCATTTTCCCCTCCATTCTCTGCACAGATTACACTAATAAACTAACAAAGCAAACAAGAACACCAAATAGCATCAACCCATTCAAACAAAATCACATAAAAGAAAGAAAAAATACCCAGATCAGATAAATCATGAGGAGATGGTTTACGGCTTGAATGCCAGCAGCAGAAAGAGAATTTAGAAGATCGACCACCCATTTCACAGCAAAATCTATCAGATTTCTTCAAAAAGAAAAACTTATACCCTCTTCAAGTATCAACAAAACAAAAGGGGGCAAAATGAAAACAGAAAAAAAAAAAAGTTATCTTTTTTATACTATATGGGTATATACCAACTTTCTTTCTTATACAAAAAGATAATTACTATGTGGGTATCCAAAGAAAAGATTTTTTTTAAAAAAAGCTCTGTTTTGTTGTTTGAAGATTAGAGAAATGGAGAAAAATGGGTTATATAAAAATGGTTGAATGATAAAGAAACAGTGATTTTCATGTGTTTAACTTTTCAGAGAAAGACGTGTTTGTGCTACAAAGGGAATGACCTTTTCTTTCTTCATTTCTACTATTTCTAGATTACAGAGATATATACATATATATGTATCTATATTTCTCTTTCCATTTCTCTGTTCTGTTTTTTTATTTCTATTCTAGTCTAACTTTTCTGCCTTTGAACTTCCATTTTTGTGCTTACACAGAATTTTTATTTTGAAGCGGTGTTGAATGCTTATATTAAATTTAAATTCGAGATTTTTTAATTAAACACAAAAGATCAATATGAATTGTGATGCATTAGTGAGAGTGATTCACTTTTAATCAGAAGTCTTAAGTCTTAGGTATAAAGAAAATCTTGTCTAAAGGGCCCGTTAACTAGGGTTCAGGCCCTCGTCACCCCAAATTGGCCATATAAAATGCGATTCAAATTTAATCAAAGTTTCAATATGACTTCAAATAACGAATAAGATATCAAAACAAAAAAATACTTATTATTTCATCACAATCCAACTCATTTCTTACATAGTATTCATTTTTAATTTCTCTTCCTACTCACTATATATATATATATATATTTCAATAATTTTGATTGACTAAATTGACTTTTTGGTTTTAAGTTAAATTGTTAAGTTTTTGATAGAGAAAATGATATCATATTCACAAGTTCTGACAAAATGATTATAAAAATCACTATCTGATTCGAAATACTCTGATTTTTAGCTGGATACAATTTTTAAAAGGGAAAAAGGGTAAATATATTCTTTCTTATTTATTTTTTATTATTAAAAGAGTTATGCATATATTGATATGGTTTAATAAATAATGAATATTTAGCTTCTTCATTAATATATATATATATATTTACTTAATTAAAAAAATAATATAATATTTCTTTTAAATTTAAAAAAATATTTATACCTCAATATCCGACTTGAAAATAAAAGGTCAAATCTGCTTCTACTAAGTTATAAAATGAGTTTGGATCAAGTCTGAATAAATGAAAATGTATCTTTTTAATGGATCAGACTTGG